TCATAGCGTAGGTCACAAGGTTTTTTTTTGCACGTGGCTCAATCAACCAAATAATTGGTCGCAGCTCACAATAGATCTTGAAAAAATTACAGGTCACAGTATTGGTCACAGACACCAAGCCCCATCTCATCCCACCCACAACCATCGCTATGACTGCCACCACCACGACACCGCCGTCAAACACACAGCACCGCCAACACTACCATCACATCCAACACAACCAGCAGAATTAGAACCAGGACCCATACTCCACCCGCCATCTTCGCCTTTGTTATAGGGCTTATTATCATATTGGGTACCACTACAGTCTACAGCAAAAAACACAGACCTGCAGCAGCGGCTATGAACATATCGCGTGAAAAGAGGCACTTAGTTCATCGCTGCGTGTGGTAGCTCGGATCATCGACGCTCTGGCCGCCGCTATTTCGATCTGTGCAAAGGATGCTCTGAGGGAGAGTAGACCGCCAGAAGAGATGAAAAGATCGCCGGAAGAGATAGCGCAGTCGCCGGTGAGGGAGAGGAGAGCAGTGAGAGACGGGGAGATAGAGCGAGAGAAGGGAGAACGCTCTGGCCGCCGCTGTTCTGATCTGTGCGAAGGATGCTCCGAGGGAGAGTAGACCGCCGGAAGAGATGGCGAAGTCGCCGGTAAGGGAAGAGAGAGGTGTGAGAGACGGGGAGATAGAGAGGGGAGAATTTAGGGTTTGAAATTTAATTTAGGTGTGGGGGAAGGGTGTATATATATATTAATTTTTATAATATTATTATTAATATTTAATTAAATATAAAAATTTGTATCCATCTATAAAATATCTGAATTTTGAACAATAAAACTTAAAATCTGATTTTTGAACTTGCATCTTGAAAAGTAGGGGTATATGTAATTTCCACAAAAATCAACATTGTAAAATGGAGTAGTTAAAGGCCTTTCATATTTTATGACATTTCTATGCAAGATTTATTCATTAACATGTCTCCTACAAGATAGGGGCTCCTTTGAGCATATTACTCATGAAATTGCATGTGCTCAATTTTTTAGGCTTAATCAAGTATGAATGCATTTTAATTGTATCATATTAAGATGTAAGGTTCCATTTTCAAATGCCAACCTTTTTAGAAAGGAGCAATACATACCTTATATGTTCAATGATTATTTTATAATCTTCTCATGTGAAGTCTATCCTTAACTAGTATTAAGGTAGAAAATTAATTGAATATGGAAAATAACAATTATGATAGTGTGCACAAATTTTCAATGAAATGGTTGAAATTGAAGAGATTTTGAATTTTGTTGGTCCTCCAATTTGAAAGAACATAATAATATTTTCTACTACTTGATTTTTGGTCTAATTTTTGGAATTGTATGATGGTGAGTTTAGCCTTTGTTTGCATTAGTTTAATATTGACAAATAATTTTTCGCATCTTATTCAAGATATGAACAATTAGGAAATGATATATTTCGGGAAAAAAATAAAATAAAATAAAAATTGGATGGTTAGATTCTGAAAGAAAGTTTATTTGGAGGAGGATGACATGCAGGGGCGGAGCCTAATGAAGTCCAGTGTAGGCACAGACATGTACTAAACTTTTGGGCCCAATCCAAATGCCCAATTTTATCTTTTTTTTTATATTTGTTTTTACTTTTTTTAATCTATTAGACCACATTTGTAATTGTAATGCCCAACGGTGAAGCCCAATACCATTCATGATTCAACCCAACAATCACGCTATGGGTACCTTCTGCTTTACACTGGGTTTTACACGCTTACATGGCAAGTGAAATTGAATTCAAATTGAAAACAAAAATGGTGGGTCAAAACTTGAACCAGCTCAATTAAAAAACCAACCATTTTGTTTCCTTCATTTCAGTTTCTCCCAAAGAATCCGAAGTCGGACACGCCTCCATCTTGACCAGAGTAACAATCCGGTGGAAAGTTGTCCTTTCAAACGCCGTCCATCGCTTCCGAAGGAGTCTCGCAGCATCATTTCATTTTCAATTTTCCCCAAATCGCAAAAAACTCTTTGATGCGAAAACTTTGTTCGAAGTCGAGCACTCTTC